AGATGAAAAGAATAGGAAAGGCAGTAGTAAAAATTTTTGAAATCTTGGAGATATATATATATATATATATATATATATATATATATATATATTAGTTAGTTAGTTTTAAGAGGATACAATATCTTTATTTTATTTTTATGAGGTGCTGAGGATTGAACTCATGCCTCACAGGTGCTAAGTGAGCACTCTACCACTTGAGCCACAACCCCAGCCCCAGATATGTATTTTTAATCTTTCAGATTTACCCAGAAATCATTTGAGATACTTATCTTTTAGTCCTTCTTGTTTTCTAATAGATGCAGTCAGGACTACAACTTTGCCTTGAAATACTGCTTTAGCGTCACTGCTATTAAATTAGCCATGGTTAGTATGTAATGCTTTCATTTTGTGACACGTATAGCTCGTTAGTGACAGTGGTATGTAATAGCCTACATGATTCTGAGCTTTTATACCTGATGATGTTACATAAATGTCATCTTCATGACAGGGGTGATGGAACATCTGCACAGAATGGCAGGCCAGAACCAATGAATCATTTCAGTTCAGTTCAACAGATATTCATTGGGTTTCACCAAGTGCCTGTCTTGTGTTAGAAACTGGGAATGTAAAATGAACCAGAGAGATGCACCCTGGCTATAAGTAGTACAATAAGTGTTATGATGAAGGTAGCATGGAGCATTGTGGCAGAATAAATGATGAGCACCTAACAGCCTCTGGTTTCCTGGAAGACTTCTTAGAGAGATGGCGGAATCTTACTGGACAAATAATAATAGGCCAGGAGATGCGGGGAAGAATATTTCAAATAGAGGGTACAGGAAGTGAAGAGGCATGGTGTGAAATGTCAGAGTGTGTACTGGAATCTTATGGTAGAGGGTGATAAGAGGATAGCAGGCATGACTGTAGGGAATGTGGATGTATTAAGGAGTTCTGAAGGCAATGGTTACTATTCATTTCTAACAGTTTGGGCAGTTTCCTGAGATTGTCTTTGTCTCTACCCAGAAGCTCAAGTCTTTCTGGAGATCTTGCAGGCACCCAGGATGGAGGGCTTGGCTGGCTGTGGACACTTTCCCCTGATGGTGCTGCCCTAACATCTCATCCTGTTAGATGGAGCCTGAGCCACTCTACCCTGCTGCCCGTCACTGATTAGCCCAGCCATGCCACCTTTCTGTAGGCATCACCTCTTTCTGCAGCCTCTACATCTCAGTCTGCTACATTGCACTCTATCCCCTCCATTTTGCAAAAAGCAGGAGGCTGGGGACCTCCTGCAGATCCCAGACTCTGCTGTCTGGCTTTGAGGAGTGAATGCCTGGTTGGATTCCCCCCAGTACCCCAGGAATCACTTATTTGTAAGAAGAGTGTTGGGAAGGGAAGTGTGATGGGCGACAGATAGATCTGCTGCTAACCCTGGGCGAGGTGCTTACCTGCTGAGTGACCTTGGGCAGGTTCTTTTTTTAACAAGCAAGTGTGAGTTCATGCCCTCTGTGTGCATAGTCATATGCAGGGCTCTGGAGAAACAAGACCTTGGAGGGGAGATAGACAGAAAAGAGCAGGATGGAGGGACAGTGTGATCTCAGACTTAAGCTCTCATGATCCTTGAGAAGGTGAATATAATCATCACTTTACAGTTGAAGAAATTGGGGCTTAAAGGGGTCATGTGACTTGCCCAGAGTCCCTGTAGCTGTATTCCTCTGCACTCCACCCACAGTCTGCAGATCTGTGCAGTGATGTTATAGCAGCAGCAGTAGCAGCAGCAGCCCACAGACCCACTTTTAATGGTTATTGCCCACTTGCTTCCTGTGAAAGAAGTGGAAGTATGGGTGAGCCTGGAGAATGGACAACACCCTTGACCTTCAGATGGCCCCATCTGGAGTAGGTAGGGAGGCCGAGTTGCAGGCCTGAGATAATTCTAGCCCTTTTGCTTTCTTTACCTGCAGGAGGAGAGCTCCCATATTCCTGGGCTCTGGGCAGGGTGAACTCACAGCTAAAGTCTGTGGGAGGACTACTGGAAGTCCCCTCCTTGGCGTATCTGACCAGTGGGGCTGGGCGTGTGCACTAGGCTGTCAGGAAGAGTTATCTCCAGACAGGCCCTCGGCCTGCCTGCTTTCTCCTCCGCCATCCCCTCCTAATTCATTTTCCGCCTTTAATGTACTGTTGTGGAGCTTCCTCTCCCATTAGGGCCTGTAATGTGCACCAATTCCCTTCAGCTTGACTGCCCTTAATAGGCAGCGTAAATAGAATTTAGTGTGGCGTGCACTAACATCTCTATCCATTGTCCAGAGATTAAATACTTGCCACCGATGGTTCATGCATCATCAGCCTCGAGCCCAGCTTCATAGCTCCCAACCAAAGGAGGATATTAAATTAATTTGCAGGTTGCTTTAGCAAAACCTAACAAAAAAACCTCTGCGGGAAAAGAAGGAGGGGGCCCAGTGCATCTGCTCACCATCAATCATGGTGGGTGGGAGTTGTTAGAAACTTGGGGGGAGAGGGGGCGACTCTTGTTCATCCCAGGTTGGGTCCCTCTCCAGGGTCATGCAGCTTGGTCACCTATTTCCATGCTAGTCCCCAGGCCTTGGCCCATGCTCAACTCTTCCATCAGCTTTGAAACCAGCTTTCTGGACTGAGGAGAAGAGTGAGGGATGGAGAATGGAGAGAAAGTCCTGAGTTCAAATTGCAGGGACTCCTCCCTTCTTAGGGGTGTAGCAAAAGGACAACAGATAAAGTGCTCCTAGGTAGGGAGATCTCTAGAATCTCTCTTTGGACTACTGGGTTCTTTGGTGTCCTCCGGTGGCTGTGGAAGTCTGAGCCTTGGGAGACAGTGAAGTGAAAGGGTGAGGGGCAGTGCAGGCCTTGACTCTGGGGTCCACGGGGGCATCTCCTGACCTTTTTTTTTTTCCAATGGTGGCAGTTTGTGTCATTGACCACAGTCATGTAGTGGAGATAGACCTGCAAACAGATGCTGATGATCCAGGGACAAGGGGCTTTGGGATCCCAGAGAGCAGCTCAATCTGCACCTGGAGGGCAGGTGACCTCTGAGTTGGACCTTTCAGGACTAGCAGGAGTTATTGGTCAGGGTGGAAGGGAAAGGGGTCCTCCACACAGAGGTTTTGGAGGTATCCCATGTATAATACTGCCAGAGAACTCAGGAGTTCAGAGTGGCTGGAAGACACAGTAAGCCCAGGGAGAGGTGGCAGACAGGATTGGGAGGCAAGCCTTCTGTGGGGGCAACGGGGAGCCATGGAGGAACTTCCACCAGGAGAGCCACATATTCATGGTTGTTTGTGGAGAACATTCTGAGACAATGTGGGGGTAACTCCCAGGGAAGGGAGGCACACAGGAAACCCTTGCATGAATCCAGGGGGATAGGGCTCAGACTATGACAGCAAATGGAACTGGAAGGGTGAGTCCCAATCGTGGCCTGAAAGTCTCTGAAAGGAAAAACAAAGTCTCATCCCTTGGACAACAAACCCAGGTCCTGGTGCTGGGCTGGGCACTGAGAGTAAATGCTGCATCCAGATCCCTGTCCCGTGGGCTCGGTCTGTCCAGAAGCCTGGCTCAGGATGAAGGGAGGCAGGCAGGAGGGTTTCCGCTCACCTGGTCATATCAGAATGGAAGCCACCTCCAGGTGGTGAATGGACCAAGGGGAGCAGTCACTCTCCCAACAGGGCTAGTGCAGGAATGGTGGGTAAAGAGCAAGCATGCCACCACCCTCTCAGTCATTTCCTGCCAGCCATCACTAATTAATCCAGCCACTTTCCCCAGGGAGGTATAAAAAAAATCCTAGGACCCTTTCTGGGACAGAATTGCATGACACCAGGATGAGTTGGCCTTGGCCCATGTGGCCATTTCCCCCAATACAACCAGCCACTTCTTTATTTCAACTCCAAATCAGGGTCTTGTTTCTTCCTGGATTTCAGCAGACGTGGAGGGTGTGACCAGCCTTTCTTTTCCTCAAATCTTAGCAAATGCATCCAGTCAGTTGTCCTGCTTTTCCAAACACTGTAGAAATATGGTGGGCCCCAGGGTGGAAGCTGCGGAGGCAAGGCAGGGGGAGGAGAGAGAGGAGAGATCTTTGCTGTGGCGGAAGTGCCTGCTGTGGTCTGCTAGTTCTTCCCTGATGTCCTCCTCCACCCGTGACCCCCACTCATGGTGGTTTATTAATAGCTTTTAACACTATCATTTGGACTAATTGAAAATGGGAGCAGTGCTAATATGCCCCTTTACATTTCATTCCTTTTTTATTTAAAAAAGATACTAAAAGCATTTATCGAGTAGTTTCTGGGGAAAAGAAATAAAAAGGTCTCCCCTCTGGCCATTGTGATGGCGTGTTCTCCTTCTAGCACCCTGTGCAGGGGATTCTCATGGTTCATTAGCGTGATTTAAGGGGTCTCCATGACCCTGTTATAAAGCCACCTGTTGGGAGGTTCTCAGAGACATCCTTTGCTCACGGGCAGGCTCCACCTGGTCCTGGAGGTGGAGGATGGTGGGCAGGTGTGAGGGGTTTTGGGTGGACGCCCCTCCACACTGCTGTGTGAGTGAAGGGATTTCTCCCCTGTTCTTCTGTCTTTCTAGTTGGGATTTAGAGTCATGGAGAACCAAGGTCTGATCAACGTAGTTCAGGGTTAGTGTTAATCTCGTACACTGGTTATTATCCATTTTCCTTCCCAGTTTCTTTTTCTGTTCTTTTCTAAACCCAGAAAGGCTGATCCCTGGGCTTTCCCTAGGGCTTCTCCTTGGGTCTGACCAATGGGAGGCTCTCACTGGAGAACACAAGGTGGAAGGGGAGGGAGGCTGGGGTCTTTCTTCCCTGGTCTCTTCCTTCTTTGGTGCTGTACGAGCTCTAGCAGTTTTTGTCCTTGTACCCTGCTGGACGGTCCCTCCTTAAACCCTAATCATGGTCATCACTTCCTGCTGGGGTTAGTTTGGGTGCCTCACCTGTGTCTCTGCTAGCAGTCCCTCTGTGAGAGACTCTTCATTTTTGCCATGGGCTTTGATTCAAGGTTTTTCACAATTTCCTGATTGGCTGTCTTGACGTCATTGTACAAAGAATGGACAGTGGATGCTGGATGGCCTCCAAAGCTGCACTTGTCCTTCAGGTTCCAGTCCCACTCTCGGCCTTAGGGTAAGCCATGGATCTGGCTTCTTCTTTTCCTTGAGTGTATAGTTTGGGGGCTGGGTTTTTGCTTGCTGTACCCCTAGCCAAAGGGCAATGGCTCTGGTCAACCAAGTCCCCTGCCCTTTGTAGGTCTCTGACCCTTAGCATGGAGTCTTGTGTCTGTGGTCCCAGCCAGAAATGCCCCTGGTTCCCCACCAGGCACTGCCAGAACCACTGCACCAACGTCCCCTTTGACAGGTGTCTCCCTCTTACAGCTCTGCTGCCGTGGCCTGATCCAGCCTGTTTTTCATGGAGCACACCAGAATGGACACCAGTGGCCAGGAGCTGCCTCTGTAATCACGTCTCCTTGCAAAGGATCAATGCCTGCTCTTCTGCAAAGGGCCAGCAACAGTGTCATCGGAATGAGTTCAGGCCTTTCTGAGGGGGTCCTTTTGAGGCCAGCTGACCTATGAATGAGGGGGTGCTTAACAACCAAGCAGAAACAGCTCAGGCTCTGCCTGGAAATGTGGGAGGCTGTGTGTGGCGCGTGTGTGTTCCAGGACGATGAGAACTCATCAAGACTCATCCAGATCTTTCTGGGAAGGGATTCCCTAGGGTTCATCATCATAGAGCTCACCTCAGCTATGGACAAGCTGAAAGACCCCCTGAGAGTAGCCAGAGATTGGGTCAAGTCAGTAAGTACCCACTCTGTGCTGTGTCAGACTCTGGGGGCAAATGTTCACTTGGACTTGGATACTGGCTTCTTGTAACTTGGTCTTCTTGGGTCTTCAGTCTCGTCATCTATAATAGAGCCAGTGTCCTCTAAGAGTCCTGAGATTCTGTGGTTGTCTGAGGAAGGAAACATGGCTTTCCCAACTTTGGTGCTATTGGGCTGGATGATTCTTTATTGTGGGGACTATCTTGTCATTGTAGGATATTAAGCAGCACTGCTGGCCTCTACCCATTAGCTACCAGTAGCAACTCCCCATTCCCAGTTTTGATAATAAAAATGTCTCCAGACTTTAACAAATATTTCTCAGGGGGGTAAAACTATCCTGGTAAGAACCACTGGTTTAAAATCATGACTGAGGCTCACAGATGCCTGGCCAGGGGTTTTCCCAGGACTCTCTTAGTGAGCAGCCTTGGACTTGGCCCTGGGATTTATAGTCTTTAGGCTGAGGCTTGGGGCCTAGGTCTTCACTATCCATGGCTGCATGAGACAATGGAATCCTATCCTCTAAAGTCTTTCCTGCTCCAGGAATTTAGGTCTCATTAATTCAGTGATCAGGTAAGGTCTGAATCTCACAGCTGGAAGCCCACTCTGTTGGGGGTGGGAGAGTGGCCTGAGGGGACAGGAACAAGGCTGGGGTCTGGAGGGTGTCAGGGGGCATGGAGGGAAGGCCCTGGGCCTTACGTCACTTCGTGGTGTGCTTGGGCAAGTTCTCAGCTCTTTGTGTCCCAGTTTTCTCATCAACGGGAATGATGGTGATGACCCACCTTCCAGGATTCTTACATCAGTGGATCAGGGAGGATCCCACCTGAAAGTGCTTCTATGAAAAGGATGTGCCAAAGGGACTATTCACACAGTTAGGCCAGGACAAAGGGAATGAGAGGGACTGTGAGGCACACCTGGGCTGGCAAAAGCAGGAAATGATTATCCTTTCTCCTCACTGGGTTGAAGGGGCTGGGGCAGGACGGTGGCTGGGGAAGATATATACAGAGGACTGAGAGTTGGCATCTTAGAGCCCCTCCTCCCTGCCCACCTGGCTCTGTAGCCAAACAGCTGCAGTCACAGTGCAGTTGGGCCAGGCCCTCTCGTGTCTTGCTGGTGCTTCTCACTTCCGAGGCCCATAGCTGGGGGCCAGGGGATCGAGGTGTGCAGCAAGTAGAGGTCAGTTTCCTGGGCATGGCACCTGTCAGAAAAGACCAGGGAATAGATCTGGGTCGGGGTGGGGTGGGAGAGGTGCCAGCCAGGGCAACCAGCAGAGCGAGGAGAAGGAGGGCGTGGATATTTGCCAAGTGCTTAGAACAGTGTTTGCACGTGGTGTTTGAAGAAGGAAACCTGTGCTAGCCTCTGGGGGTACAAGACATGTTAAGTCAACTCCTGCAGCACCTTCCATGTGGGAAGCTCCAGGCTCTTCCTTCTGGAGCTGGCTGGGGTGCGGCCCCATGTGGGGGACAGGTGCCTAGTCTGGTGCCCACTGCACAGACACATTCCATGGAAGTTCACCTGGGCCTCCCCACCCTGGTGGACACAGCCATCAGATTCATTCATGGTGTTCCTCGGCCCTACTCCATCTCTCCTGCCTTCCCTGGTCCCCCATCTCATGCACTTTGGCCATGACCCCGCCTGTGGACCAGAGGTGGACCAGTGGCTGAGGCCTAGGAAGCCCTGCCTGGGGCAGGCGGGTCCAGCCTCTGTCCTGTCCTCAGAGTCCCTGGGCACTGAGGGGATTTCCCTTGGCCTTTGTGAGGCTCCTCTGAGCCGACCTGTGCATGGGATGGGAGTCCCACTGGGGCTCCTGTAGGACCTGTGCTCCTAGCTGCCTGCAGGGGGTTACTGAACTACTCAGTGCAGAGGGGTTCACCTTGCAGGTGGGAGAGGCGGAGGAGGACAAGGATACAGCCCTTCATGAGCATGCCTGCTTCCTCTGCCTGTCCACTCGGCTGGCTGGGCTGCCCTGTTGGTGGGAGTGGCCCTCTCCAGTCTACCTGCCTGGTCAGTGCTGTGGGCAGGCCATAGCCTCTTCCCTTGTCCTTTATCAAGGCAAGAGGTGGTGCAGGAATGTGGAGTGGGGCTGGACTACAGCTGCGACAGCACCACTGACCTCCCATACTGCAGCTGGCAGTAGACCAAAGCTTTGAGCTGAGCATGTGCAAACTCTGGGCTCAGCCCCTGGCTTACTTGATTTCATTTTGTCTTTCCATAGCCCTTGGGTTGGCACTTCTGCTATCTCACTGTAAATGAGGAAACTAAGGCACAGAGAGTTAAGGTCTGGCTTGTATCACACAGCTAATATGTGGTAGAGCTGAGATCTGAGCTCAGATATGACCCCCTGTGCCGCTGATCTGTGCTGCCTCTCCTCCCAGGTCCTGCCTTCTTGCTCCCGAGGGTGTCATCAGGCCTGGGTCTCTGTACGGAGGGGACTGCAGCTCGGAAATGAGGCTGGCTTGGGAACGTTTTTCCACACGACCCCCCCTGCCCCCACCCCGTGCAGCTGTGTAATGAGCCCACATCTGTTACCACCACATGTTGCTCGGCGCTTCGCAGATGTAAAGTCTCAATTTTTCTAATTAGCAGCAACACGAAGTCTATCTTAATTTTCTCCTCCCCTCCCTCTAATAAACGTGATATTAACAAGGTTACACGTCTGCGTTTTGCTGGGTATAATTGAATCAGGTCGCAGATTTGATTAGTGGGTGTGGGGCGATGGGGTCTGGTCAGGCTGAGGGGCTGGGGGAAGGAAGGGGCCAGGTCCCAGCTGCGGGATGGAGAGGAAGAAGGAGAAAGAGGAAAGAGAGAGGAGAGAGAAGGGAGGGAGAAAGGCAGAGAGCAAAGGGAAAGAGATCAGTGGAGAGACCGAGATTTCAAAGACAGAATGGCGAAGATGAGTGGTAGGTGAAGACAGAATAATAGAGGGAGAGAGGAAGGGGAAAAAGAGAGAGAGAGAGAGAGAAATGGGAGGGAGGGAGGAAGGGAGGGAGAGAGAGAAAGAGATATATAGAGAGGAGCAAAGAGACATTGAGATGGGAGAAGTGAAGACCCAGACACACACACAAGCACATAGCAAGTCACAAGAGACAAAGGACAGTGAGGGAGCCCTCAGCTCCTCAGCCCTGCTCAGACCTTTCTGCAGAAGGAGGTCCCCCACCCAGGGCTCAGGGAGGGCCTGGATTGAGGAGGGACAGGCAGCCACAGCCTCCCAACCTGCATTGTATTGCTGAGCTTGAGGACTGGTCCTGGCTCTGGGTGACCAAGGGTCAACTAGCTTCCCTCTCTGGGACTCAGTTTCTCCACCTATAAAAAGTGCTCTGTAGGGCCCACTCCCTGTAGCTCCAGCTCCCATCCATGGGACAGAGAAATTCTGGAGGAGCAAATGAAGAAGGTTCTACCACTTACAAAGGCCTCTGGTCCATGAGTCCTGCTGAGATGGTCCCTGGAGCACCCTGGGCAGACGCAGGGTGGGGGGTTGTGAACCAGGGTCTGGAAGGGGACTCCTGGTCCTAGTGGGCTCCAAGCCTTATAGACTGTGAGATGCCATATCAGCCGTGGTGACCCCAAACACCCCCCACTTCCACTGGGTCCCTGCCTGCTAAGCCCTGAGCTCCAGGCCACCCCGTCTCTGCTCACAGCTGCACCCTTCCCACCCTTCTCTCACCCCATGCCCTGGAGCACCCAGGCTCCTTCCCACCTTTGCTCTGGTAGTCCCTGCCTTCTCCTTTGACAAATCTTAACTCCAGGGTCATTGCTTATGGGGGACCTTCCCCGGTGACTGAGGAACAGGCTCCTTCCTCTGCGTAATGGTGCACTTCTTTCCTTCTCTGTATTTGTGCGTTTGTGTGACTGTCTTCACTTCCCGCCTCTCCCGTTGGACCTGGCTGGCACCTGGTGGGGCTCACTGTGTTGGCGACAGTGGGAGCTCAGGCAGGCGTGAGCGTGTGTGCCTGAGGAAGGCCTCTGTGTGGCGTCTGCCGCAGCCTGGCTGTGCTGCGATCCTGCTGTGACAATTTCTCCCGCTGATGACTCCGTCCCCAGGGCCTTGGGAGGCACTGAGAAGCTTCTGTCAAGGGGCAGTGGCTTTTCCCCCCTCGCTTAAATGAGATATGAATAATTGATTTGGCTCTTGAATAATTAATCAGATATTCAATAAGGAAAGTAATTGTTTGGCACATCCCCCATGGATGGCCTGGCTCAGCGCTGTCCCACACGGGCTGGGAGGCTGGCGGGGGTCATGGGCCCACGAGGAGCCCAGTGCCAGCTGGGGGAGGTCACCTTGTTTGACACTTCTGGACTCCTGTCAGGTTCGCTGTCCCTCCGGGAGGTCCCTGTTTGCCTCCATGTGCCCACCAAAAGTTTGGGTCTTATGGTCTCCCACCAGCTACCCAGGTGTCTGGCTTCTTCCCTGAGTCTCCCAGCTCTGAGATGGGCCCCCTTTGTCTGTTGGATGTGACCCTCCTGGATATCACTCTCTCCAAGCGGTGCCCTGCCAGTGGAGAGGGCTAGGCCGGCCTTCCTACCCCATTTCCAACCCCTCCCCTGGGAGGCCTGGGGGGCGGGTGTTGTCCACTTTCTGTCCTTGGGGCCAGACTCCATAGAGGCATTGTGGGTAGGGTAGCCAGGTGCCCATCTGTGCAGCTAACTGGGTGCCCCTCTGTGCCCACCTGCCTGGAGAAGGGCCTTGAAGTGCCTCTGACCAGGGCCCTGTGGGCCTCTTTAGGCTTGACAACTCTTCCCGAGATTGTCTTCTTGTAGGTTCCATGTGTGACTTTCTGCCCACCTTTCAGGGACCCTGTTGCCTTCCCTGGAATATATTTCCCTTAGTCTGAGTTTGGGAGCTTCCGCCAACAGTGATGGCCTGGGATCCGCTCCAGCCCTCACTGAACAACTTGGGTGTGCCCTGGAACCCACTCCCGTCCTCAGCTGGGTGGAGTCCTTTTTGTGATTTCCTTTATGAGTTGCAGGCACATTGGTGTGTTAGACCAAACACACACATCACGGCACACATACCACACATGCCACCTACCTCACACTCACACACACACACTGGACACATACAAACACATGGACACCAGGAGACACAGGTCAACACACTACACGTATGTACACAAACTCACACACAAGCTCAGATGCATATCACACATGTGGGACACACGTGTACATGCCAGATACATGCCCACACACACTAGGTACACACACCAACACACGTCACCCATGTAACTCAGGTCACACACATCACTGTGTCCACACAAACGTATGCACACGTGTGCACAGCTGCACCCCAGACCAGAGGCAGTATGGAAGTCCTCAGAGGCAGGGCCCAGATCTAGGAGGAGGAAGAGGTCCCCACCTGCCTCTGAGCACTCCCCCTAGGTCCCAGGCCTGGGTAGAGATGGTTTAGCTCTCTTCCTTCGTCCTCTCCCCTGGCACTCTTTCAGGACTGCTGGGTGAGGGTGGGCTTGCCCCTGGGGCAAGTGTCACTTCACAGACACTTCTTCTGGCAGACGAGGTGAAGCACTGGGATGGCTGCAGAGCCCTCGCTCTGAGGGAGGGGACAAGAAGTCAAGCTGCCTCCAGACCGAGATGAAAGCAGGAGGCTGGGTAGAACTCTTCTCAGCCTCCAAAGGGATGGGGTGCAGGGGAGTGGGGAGGAAGGAGCCTGTCAGGCTTCTGTGTGTGCATGTGTGTGTGCATCCACGTGTGTGTACCTACATCCATGTACACACCATGCACACTTGTAGCAGTGAACACACATACACATGCAGGCATGTACATATGCATGTGTGTGCATGTGCCCATGTACACACATGCACATAGGTGTGTGTTTATTGCACACATGGAAGTGCATGCATGCATAGAATAGGCACACGTGTTGGTGTGTGCATGTGCTGTAGGCTGTGTAGTTTATAAACCACAGAAATCTATTTATCACAGTTCTGGAGGTGGGAAATCCAAAGTCAAGATGCTGGCGGAGGCAACCCCAGTGTCTGGTTGGGGCCCACTTCTTAAAGATGCTGTGATCCATCTCAGGTGGCAAGAGAGATGGAAGGGCCAGGCAGCTTTGGAAACTTCTTTCACAGGAAACTAATCCCACTGGAGAGGGTGGAGCCCACAAGCCCCACCTCCTACTACCATCACCCAGAGGTGGGACATCCTGCATGTGAATTCTGTATGTCACCCATATGCGGAAGATTCGTACATCCTCTGACACACCAAGCCCCTTGGGGACCAGAGCAGATCGGCAGTCGATGCTCCCTCACAGGCCCTGCTTCTCTGCCTCACTATTTGTAGTCCCTTCAGGAAAGGGTGGTGAGGTCACTGGTGTCTCCCTGTGTGTACCTGGTTTGTGACTGTGCAACCAGCTTCTCTGGGCCCACATGCCCATTGGCCATGTCGGGAGCCTGTCAGGGATGCTGGCACAGGGCATGGGGCCCAGGCTGCAGACAGAGGGCAGCTGGGCTGCACAGTGGGGCAGCAGCTGGACCTACAGGGAGGTTCCTGGTCCCCACCTGGGTCTGGTTTGTTCTGCACTTAGCAACGAGGTGGGGGTGGTCCTGGTCCTGGTCCTGTTTTAGTGTGGGACATAGACAGTAAGTGAGAGAAATCAGACAGTATGAGGACAAACCGGGCGGGAGGTGGGGCTGGAAACATGGGGGGTAAGCGTTTAGTCGAGGAGCCAGACAGGTGCACAGAATCTGTTCAGCTATTTTGGACACTGGTTCAGAACTCATAGTGGAACCTAAGTCCGGAGTCAGTTTCACTGAAGGAAGGGCTGGGGTGCCCTGGGGGTTCTCCACGGAGGAACATGGCCACGGCTCCTGGGTGCAGAGGGCTGTGCTCAGCACTGTGGCCACCCCCAGGTGCCTTTCCAGGGTCCTGCTCTGCAGATGACTTTCATCTGACTGAAGGTTTTAGGGAAAATGTGGCTCATGAGGCTGACCTCTAAAGGTGACGGTGAAATGTGAGTGGCAGCATGGGGTCTGCTCTGCACAGAATTTAGATCTGTCCTCTCAGCCAGCCACCAAGGATGCCCCAGGGAAAAATCAAAACCAGCCTTCAGTGTGCTTGCATTTAAGCAGGGCAGGTGACCCGGCCTCAGAGAAAGAGCCCCAAACCTACCACCCTGGGCCGGTTCTGGACAAAGGACCTCCTCAGCATTACTTTAGGTGGAAGGTGTTCAGGGGACACTCAGCTGTTATTCCAGAGTCACCTGGCTCTCCCCAGGGGTCCTGACAGCTGCAGTGGTTTTTGGAGGCATTGTTTCTGCAGTAGAGGGAGGGGAGTGGGGGGTTGGGGTTGGGCCTTAGGGGATGCTGCTGATGTCCTGCCCCAGACCCCTGTGGCTGCTGCAGATGGCTCCTGTTGTCTCTGGAGCCTCCAGTTCCTTTCTTCTCAAGCCTGATGATGCTCTCTGGTTCCACAGGAATTGGTTCAGGCTTCAACAGGCACCCCTCCAAAGTGTGCATCGGGATGACGCCCCAGGCCACCCTCAACCTGTCCTCCAGAGGGGTGATTCTGAGGAATGTTCCCCATGGTCTCTTAAGAGTCCCTGGGGAGACTGTGCCCCAGGTGCCCTCTGTAGTAACTTGCTCAAGGACCTGCAATTAGCCATCGTGTCTCCTTCTCTTTTGCTTCTCAGATAAAAGAC